CAAACTAATGTATAAAAAAAATATGTTAATCTATTAGTTGATATGTCCATTTTAATGGATACGAACTCATGTATTGTCTTCGAAATTCTACGTCTTCTTTTATACATATGTATACATGTACTTCGTACGGCTTTTTATTTGCTGCGTGCAAGCCATTAACTAAAAAAATATTAATAGAACCCGTGATGAGAAAAAAATTTCAGATTTGCCGCATTTTTGAGGACCTAATGCACTACATACACCGAATTTTTCTACCACTTTGAGTTATCAGACACTGTTATCATCGCGCACACAAGAAAAATAAAATGTCTTTTTCAATGTTATCCAAACTTGGACACTTTATTACAAAACTGATGACTTAGAGATGCTTATGGAATCAGTATTCAGAAACAATGACAGCAAAAGATTATTGGAAACGAAGGCTAAGCGTATATTTTTCTTTTTTTTTTCGTGTTTACGCCACGTCTCCATGGCTACTGTCTGCGAATGAAGCTTTTGCTCCCCTTACTCCATGCTTTTGTCTTACCCCCATGGTTTCGATCGTTGACAAAAATTCGAACAGCCCTGGACGAACCAATATTCGCCAGACATCTATGCCCACGAAGCAAACGTTTTTTGCTTTGATGAGACGCATCTTATACGCTTCTTGACCACCTTCTCCTCAATTTTACAGTGCATTTTAACGAGTAATTATAGAATGAGACAATTATTCCCATTGTAGAAAGAGATAAGTTTGGTAAGACTTTGAGGCCAGTAAAGGAGGAGCCTTATGAGCCCTTACACATGACTTGTTAAGTAGCATTCTCCCCTCGTATAAAACAATAGTTTTATACCTATGCAAATCACACAAATTTTCTCGCCGACCTTTAGTACTCCGTACATAGTTCTCACCATAACTAAGCGAGCTTGACCGTCTTTTTCTGGAAAACCTTTAGTTACTATACCTTTCCGCCACTGATTTTGTTCAAGATTTTTATGGAAGATGAAAATTAAATTACCTTATTTTAATGAAGGCGTTGCATTTTACCACTTTCCACGAGGGATAAGGGTCGGAAGGCATTCTCTTAGCCAACGCTTCCAAAAATAATCCACATAGTATTGCGCTATTTTCCAATATTTATTTGCATATGAATGATGCGCACCGCAACGTCCGAATTGAAAATGATCCAGTGAAGCCTCAATTAAGAAATTATAAGGGGTCAAAGCTTCGTAATTTCTAGGAACTACTGAGACATGTGTTGATGGCCCGACATTTACATAGTGTTTGATCTCAACTGATACTGTTAATAATGCCACTTTTTAAACGCGCTGACCTTTAAAAATTACACTGAGGTCGGTTTTTACTGATCTTATTAATCTTTCTCATGCCCTTCCTATATGTGGTGCTCTTGGTAGATTGAATTGCCACTTTATTTCTCTCGATTCGGCAAACTTTTTTAATTTGATTCCCAGTTAATTCTTTATTGGTCTATTATTATTGGTCTATTATTATTCCTATTACTGGTCTGAGTTTATCCTTTCTGATATTAATTTTCGCTTAACAAGTTTATGTTTTAAAATGTTTATAATCTTATCTTTTGGTTTTCATATACATAACTTTGTACTATACTTATAGTTTTCCAGTTTTAATTGTTTTTCTACTCTGTAGTCTATCATATCATCGAGTCCTTGAGGTACTCAATTTGCTTACAAACTTGTCTAATTATTAAGGAAAACATTCTTTTATTATTCATAGAAAGCCAGGTTTCACAAGTTACACATTTTTTATGAAAATATTTAACGGGTTGTAAAGAGATTCCATTAAAGAATCAACGTCCATTTTTACCATACCAATTTCTTTTTAGACGTATAACATGATGTCATATTAATTAGCAGTATAAATTCTTTTTCAATGTATTCAAACTTTAAACTCTAGATTTGGTGGAAACCTGTAACTTCCGACCAGTTCATCTTTGCTATCTCATCTTTTTTATCATTTGAAAATTAATAAATAAATAATGAATTGTTGATTTTTATTTATCAGTGGTAAAAGAAAATTTGTTGGACCCCAACTGAATATTTGTCCAAGAAGTAAGAAATCAAAGTTCTTCACCATTAAAAAACTGCTAAACTAATTAAATTTTTAGATTTTTAAAACCTAAATTAAAATATTATTTTAAAAAGGAGTAATTTATTATACTATACGATTCGATACGAAATTCTCTTAATTAAGGTATTTCAGACTTAACATATTTCATGATCTAACTTTTGTAACACATAATTAAAAATAAACCTTATCTCAGCAAAATATTTTAAAAAATGAACACTTTATCGAAGAATGTAGGCAAAGAACACGGTATCTATAGTGAAATTATAGCTCAGTTCAAAATGAAACAAGTGAAAAACAATCATAGAGCCGAATGACTTGCAAAAAAAATTAGGTATTGAGTAGATATTTTTAGATATAAAAACACAAATGGAAAATATTAATATCAGATTATGTAATGAAGACATGGTCATACGTGTAAGCATCTAGAGAGCCCAAAATAAATAGATGAAGATTTTAAAACAACCTTTTATACAACCATCAAATAAGTTGAAAATAAATTTTTCTGCATACTCCCACCGAAAGTGCTTCATATAAGCCCTGCTCCAAAGCAGCTTTAACTCAATCAATTCATAGCAAGCCTAGAGATTACGATTTTTTCTAGAGATGTGCTTATTGCTTTGGGAAGAATCATGTCATTTCATACTGTCGAGATTTTATTAAAGCACTGCGTTTTTAAAAATGGAGAGGTGTAAGGATAAAAAACTGTGTTGTAATTGTTTGAGACAAAGGTATTCTCGTCACGATTTTTAAATATAATCTGTGACAGCTATGCTCCAGCCATCATCTTATACTTTCACATTCCAACAAAAATTTGAGTCAGTTGCAAAATATTTCTCAATCGTCTTCCCGGAAAGTCAGAGTTAGCAAAGCTAAGAAACATGTGAGCGCCAGATCAGAAGTTCAGAATTATGATTAAAATTAATAATGTTAGTAAGAATAGTACCTTAATTCGTGATTGATTTGAAAAATTCAAAATTGATTCACAGTTCCATAAAAGAAAGCCAACACGGCCCAACAGTGACCCAATATTTGAGGACCTAATGCACTACATACACCGAATTTTTCTACCACTTTGAGTTATCAGACACTGTTATCATCGCGCACACAAGAAAAATAAAATGTCTTTTTCAATGTTATCCAAACTTGGACACTTTATTACAAAACTGATGACTTAGAGATGCTTATGGAATCAGTATTCAGAAACAATTACAGCAAAAGATTATTGGAAACGAAGGCTAAGCGTATTTTTTTCTTTTTTTTTTTCGTGTTTACGCCACGTCTCCATGGCTACTGTCTGTGATTGAACTTTGTACTATACTTATAGTTTTCCAGTTTTAATTGTTTTTCTACTCTGTAGTCTATCATATCATTAAGTCCTTGAGGTACTTAATTTGCTCACAAACTTGTCTAATTATTGAGGAAAACATTTTTTTATTATTCATAGAAAGCCAGGTTTCACGAGTTACACATTTTTTATGCANGACAGAACCAGCTAACAGTCCAGGACTAATACACTTTTTGAGAATTCGGTCCAATATGATTATTTCGACATTGGAGGGAGTATTGACCAACGCCTTGTATACAATTATCAGTTTGTCGGTGCTTCACAGTAATTCGGCCGTATTGTCAGCCTATTCAATTTTTTTATGGGCTATTTAAAACGAAGGATTTACAGTAACAGTAATTAATTCAGAAATTGTTAGAGAAATGGGACCTGAAAAAACACTTACCAATAGTATTTTAAAGGGAGCTGAAGATCAAGGGTCTTACTTGTAGGCAAGTAAAAAAATTAATTTAAAAATTGAATGTGATTTCTTTCATTATTTTTTACAAAATGTTGTAGATGTCGATGATCTTGCCCTGCCTTCTAAGAGTGTGAACAATGACTTGGTTAATTAATGCAAAAAAAAGCAGTAATTAAAAATTCTCTGTGCAATAAATCACCCGATTTAATAATTGGTTATAGCCATTGCGAGTTAATAATTACTCGTAAGTTATTCGTATTAAAAATAGTAGTTTTCCTACGAGATTGAAAAGTCTCTGTTTGTGAACCGAGAGGTTTGCGGCCCAAGCCGAAGGCGAGGGACGTAACGAGGTTTGTAAAGGAGTCTTTTCGAACGAGTTCCGGAAAACTGCTTTTTCGCCTGAGGAAGAACCAGCCTCCCAAAACCACCCGAGGGCCGAAAAAAGCAAATTATTTTTATCGCGGTGTTTACTGGGATGGGCAATACATGGAAAAGTTGAATCCAGCCAGACCGAGAGGATAAACACAGATACCGAAGAATATATATACGAAAACAAAGTGCGGTAGAAAATAATCATGATTTAGACAAACAAATGAAACTGTATTTTAGAACTGAATATTTAGGGATAAAATATGCTGCAAAAACATCCGATGAAAATATTTAAGTGATGAAAATTTTGGATGAAATAAGTCAATACGAGAATGGTGAGTGGCACGTGGGGGCTACTTGAGAAGTCTCAAGATAATTTAAATTCAGGTCGTTAAGAAAATTAGAATGGGACAAAAGATACGCGCAATTTTATGAAAAAAATAAATCGACTATTTGAAAATAAATTCATGGTCAAAGCAATGAAAAGTCCAAGGACAGCAAAAATTCGTTACCTCCCACACTTCAGTGTGACTAACATAAATAAACCAGGAAGGATGCGTCTTGTTTTTGACTCAAAACCCTACACGACAAGATAGTTGTGCAAGAGTAAGCTTAAAATACCTAAACTTACACGAACATATTTTAAACGATAAAATATAATAAAATCATAACTCAACACCTCGATGTGACGGATCACAGAAATCTAACACTATTACTAACAGAATCCTTAAGTTGATTTTTACACATATTCTAGTGTAACAAGATCCTTCAGGTATCAGATAAAGGGCAGCATACCATTATATTAACGGAGAATGTGGTTTCTTTACTAAAACAATCGTGTGCTGCCCTCCTCCGGATACCTGGAGGACACATGCATCTTTGACGTGTTTTAAATTAATTAATTCAGGCTCGTATATATCTTCCTCTTTACCAGTTCCTAACAGACCTTCCGAGCCCATGCCCCAGGCATCGAGTGTTCCTGGAAAAAATTGTCGAGATTAATTCGTTATCGTATATTGTAGACATTAAGTTTTATTTCGCAAACTTTAATTAGACTTACCACTATTTGTGACGGCAAACGACTGTGCAGTACCAGCTGCCACGTCAATACACTTTAAGTTTTCCAGCTTGGGCACTGGAATCAGCTCCTGAGCATCCTCGCATAGGCTTGCAAGGCCTAATCTTTCGTATTCCTTACGCCCGATTGTATAAACTTGTCCTTGATCGTTCACAGCAACTGTGTGATGCTGACCTGAGTTAATTTGCATCCATCTGTGTCTGCTGAATGTGTGTGAAACTTTAGGGTGTAAGGTTCTATCACATCCTTTGAGACCTAAAATTAAATGAAAAATAAGTTATTCGAATCAGGTCAAACATTTATTTTAAAAATTTTCTTATAAAAACTAACATACCGATCTGGTTATAATTGTTCAGTCCACTAACATACAGGTCACTATTCCCTGCTTTAGCGAACGTATAAAAGCTACCAGCCCAAATATTTCTAATAATGATATTTTTTTTTATGTTGAAGTAGACTTGCTCTGGGGTGAGGAGTTGGTACTTTTCCCGTCTACTGTGTCGGTCCAATTTTCTTACTGAAACTCTGCCGAGCTGGCCCTGCTCAGCACATCCAAGTGTGAACACTGTCCCAGTGTTATTCAGGAGCACGATATGGTCTGATCCAGATGCTATTTTCAAAAATTTCATGTTTGGAAGTATTTCAATTGGAGTATCTTCTTTTTTTCTAGTGATCAACCCCAAAGTTCCATGTGAATCCTACAAAGTGAAATCATGTGACAATTTATTACAATGCTTATTACTGCTACCTGAATGATTAATTCTTAGTTTTTTTCAATATAAATAAACAAGCTTTCGCTTACCCGAAATGCTTCCCAACAATAATTCCTCCCATCTTTAAGGAGAGCGGCACTGTGTAAATCACCCGCGGTTACTTGTATAGCCCGCGCAGGCAACTCTACAAATTCCGGGGTAGCTTCTCCACACTCTGTAATGTCTCTCTTCAATGCCCCCTCGTCGTTACAACCAAAGGTTGCAACGCAACCATCATTGGTGAGAATTATGTTGTGCATTCCTCCACCAGCCACGGAAATAACATATTCTAATTTCGAGACTTCCGTGAATCTTGTTTTTTCTAGGACTTCCTCTCCTAGTCCCAGCTGGCCAGTGTCCCCTTGGCCACATGTAAGGGTAGCACCACTGGTGCTCCCTTGTCGGCAGATCGTCTAGCTACTGGATCTACAAAATGTGAATTATTATTATCTGGGGAGTACTCGATTTTTGTTCGTTATTAATTTTACGTGGCAGATTTATGGGCTTATAATGTTTGATTAACTTGTAACTTTTTACATTATTTCGATCTAGAAAATTGTGTGAAAAACTGCATCTACGATATTATGGCAACCACAAAAAAATCCTGCGATATGGTTTAAAATGTGCAAAAAACTAGAATTCACGTACCCTCAATCTCCAATATTTCTTGCTTTTTTTTACAAGTCCTAGCCCGTTTTACGGGTATGGCTGACTTGTCTTGCAGTACTGAAGACTTTCGTTTAAATGTGACCTTTTTTTTCGGTGGCACTGTTGAGAAGTAGATAAACAAAGGGTAATTTAGTTATACTCGAATGAATGATAAAGCAATAAAAGTAGCATATGTGTATGGTAATAGGTTTAAAAAATGAATTATCTAGTGAATACAGAAGTTTACACAATTGCGCAAGATCTTTCGAAGCAATGTCATTGAGCCAGTTGAACGATGACAATAAACTCATAACATAGTTTTTTAAAGAGCAACTGTAACCTACTCGTAATTTTTTATACCGATTGTAAGCTCTTTTAAGGCATACTACTGTCTTATATCAATGTAAGTGTAAAAAATACAAAAAACAATTACAATTTTGAAGAACGTGAGAGATTATCGTTGTTAAGTTGCAAATATAGGGTGAGTTTAATTCCTTACCACATGATTTGTAAATATGTTTAAGTATTTGTTTGTCTAGACTTTTCGTTTCTTCTCATGTGTACAATAAAATTTGTTGTATGAATCGTAAAATAAAATTCCTTGTTAGAAAATCTGAATCAAAATTTAATATTCATGGCTCACCACATGCATTTTTTTTTTCTCTCAAATAAATTTTATTCTCAACAATTTTAAAAAATTCTTGTTTTAAGTTATGTTAATTATTTTCAATCCGAGTGAAAATTACGGGATAAAGTTAAGTAGAATTACACCTATGTGCTTGAATTTCTGTATAATTTCTTAGGCAAACGGTATTGCAAGTATCCGAGTTTTTCGTATATCGTTTTTTTTTATTGTTCTGTAGAGTCATGCTTGAAGTTTATTTTATCTAAGAAAACCTTAAAAAGTAGAATAAATGGTTCTAACAGAACGTCATATAATTTAACAATTTTAAGGCACACAGGAATTATTTGAAAATTTGAAGAAAGTTGAGTACAAAGATTTGTAAAATTTCTTGTTATTTAATTAGTCACTAACAATTTATCTTGTGGTTGGTACTATTTTTATTTTTATATAACTAGCCAAAGTAATCGCAGCATATGTAGGATGAAGAACTTAAGTGTAATATGTTGTAACAGGCACACTGATATGTAAGTACTGTATTACAATTGAAATCAGGTATTTACATCCAATAAGGTATTTTCACTTCGTCATTTAAGATATCATGTATTATGTATATTATAAGTCATAGTGCACAAAAACTTTGATTATTAACAAAAACTATGATTTGTAATTGATCTTTAAAAATATAGAGTCCTTTCACAATCCATACAGTTTTATTAGAAGCCGTATATAGGATGGCCCTACCGTCTGGAAACGTTAGAAAAAGTACGCTGTGGACATTTCTCTTTTACTTTTTTAGGAAGTGGTTGTTCAGTGCCAATCCCTACATTTGTGCAGCGTGAGGTAGAGCCTGAGCACAGAATCAGCAGAGCACATCAAATTTATTTAAGTTTTTGTTTTTATTTTAAACGTCAACATTGGTTGAACTTTTCTATCTTAATTTTATGCTACAGCAGTCATTTCTACGTAGTATTGATAACAGCTACGAGCAACCATCACCGTGTTGTGTAGGTACCTACTACTAAATCTAATAAATTTTTGATTGTCTGCATATTGCTAGACAATGTACACGAAATCTTGACAATTAATGATCTAAATTATACCACTTTTTACTTTTTGACTAATTTTCTTTAGGATTTTTTGGTATCCAGACATTTGTTACAATATGCATGGTATTCTTCATGTACAACTTGATAAATAATGTATTATTTACTTTGAGACTATAGCTTATTTTCAGTAGATATTGTCACTTTCACGCTTTAAAATAATTTGTTCAAGAACAATAGAAATTGTAAGCCATAATGTTAAATAGAAATATCTTCTGAAGTACCTTGACTTTTTTTAAGATAAAATAAGTAAATCTTTCATAAGAGACGGTAAGGGATTGAAATAAATTTGATATGTGATCTCACATAAAAGCAGAAGACAGTAAAATGACGAAAACCATTGTTACATAACGAAGAAAAAAATGCTAAACTTAATATTGTTTTTTAGAGTTCGCTATTTTGCATATAAGTTATATAACTGTACCCTACATTTACACTGATCGGGGTGCTCAATCGGGCAAAACGATGACAGCTGTTTACGAAAAAGGATGTTTCAATAGATTTCAGTGAATTGAAGAAAAATGAGTTTAAATTAGAAGACAAAGACCCAATAGTACACCACTAGTTCAAGAATATTGGTATAATAAGGAAGTCATTTCTGGATGTTACATTAAAAGACGTAAAAAAAAAACTAACAACTGTTATCAACAAACAAACAAACAAAAAGTACTTCATATGGGTCAAGCTCTTACTTAATTACTCAAATTGTTGCTTAAATAATTGAAATTAAAAAAATCAATCACATTCAATAGAAAGAAAAAGTTTTATTAGTGAATGATTAATTAAAACATGTGACATTGAAAAATATTTATAAAATAGAAAAAACCGAAAACTCTGTTATCAGATGTCTGGTCTATTAACGACCGTTATTACAGTGTCTTCTTCATTTTTTTAATAGACTGAACGTTTTTTGTAAACATTTTTACAGATGTAAATAACTCATACAAAGTATCTATTTTTTACGAGTAAGATTTCACATTTTTAATAGAATATTAATACTAATGATTAATATGTTTAACGTATATATTTAAATGACTGGAAACTATTTATTAATAAAGCAGAATACTTATTTCAAGTCTTATACATTTAAAAATTATTACTTTAAAGTTAGTAAAAGGGAATAATTTTAATCCGTGAAACTTAATTATCAAGTAAGACGTAGAAACATTTAATAACTTTTTTTTTGAATCTTACATTAACATCGTAAAATTGACGTATTGCAGAATCGAAATAGTTTATGTATGTATGGAACTTGCAGGAATCTCACTTAAATTCAAGTTTAATCACCTCACAAAATTTCAAAACATTTTAAAAGACAATTTTTTCGAATCAAATCACAAAAAATTTTATCGTGGTCTCTATACGAGACTATTCATTCTTAATTACATTTAATAGAATATCTTCCAAGTAATAATTTAACTCTCACTACAAAACTAGGTACTAAAAAACTACTCTACTGTGATTATAAGAGCAGGGAGAGAAAATGTAAAATAAATATGATCAATGTTGTATGAGAACGTACGTATACGTAAATATACTTCCGAAAATAAAAAGTTGTGGTGTATAATATACCTTATTACTTTTGTACAAGAATATTTCAGTTTTCATAGATGTTATACAATAGTACGCCGTGTTTACATAGAATTAATGTGTTTACTGATTAGATAAAAATTAAAAACTATAACAATGTTTTATACTCAAGTTCATAAAAAAGTATCGCTTGTAGTTGGAATGAATTGTTCATTTAAAATGACGTAAAAAAAAAAAAAAAAAATTAGTTTAGAATTTTTTTAAACAACATTTAAAATTAATTATATCCACAGTCTAATCATAGAATTCCGTCTTATCACACCAGGCTTGTAAAGCACATAATTTAATAAGTATAGTACGCTCTATTACAGTAACATACTATATTATGTTTCTGAAACATTGGATTTTTGACAAATCTTTGTTTTAACCCGAACCTGAATTGACTACTTTTCGAAGCCAAATCTGAGTTAACTGCTTTTTCAACTCAAATTTTAAGTTGGCTTTTTCTTCATCAACTAGGAATTGTTTATAAAAAATACAGGTTACTTGAACTGTAGCAACTTCATCACCCAATATTTTTAAGTGAGATAGTTGGATGTCACGTAACCAGGTAATGCCAGTGTGATAAGCGATCTTTAAAATAATATTGGTATTTTTCGTACAAAGAGATGGTCTTGAGTTTATTTTATTAATGCCATGATGTTTAAAAAATTTAAAAAATCGGCAGAGTTAAGTTTTTAAAAATTAGAAAGAAAATCGATGGGCGAAGTCTTGTTAGTATACGGTTACACGTATTGTGACCATCGGTCATATAACTTCATAAAAATAGACACATGTTTGTTTGTTTGTTACAATGTAAGTTTAAAATTAGGCGCTCATAAATATCAAGCGCACTTGCGCATTAAGGAGGTCATTTTCTGGGAGCTTGCTACGCTGCACATTCCGTACTGTCGCTCGCGCCGCAGTCACCAAGCCTAACGCTAGCACTACATGGGAGAATTACAATATGTAACTTGAAGCGACTACTTGTCTCTTTCTCTGGGACATCGGTATCATAAACAAGGACAGCGAAGATTCATATGCCGCCCTAAAACCGAGGTTTTATGTTGCAGCTAGAAGAGAGACCTGGCACTCTAACTTTGACTCCCTTGCTTAGAACTTAGAAGGCTACGAGGCCTCTCTTTCCAATCAAGTTTTTGTTAGCAGTCCATTAGCGTCCTTATTGGTAAAACGGAGTAATTTTGTATAACTGACGTTCAATTTGGATCTCTGTTATGGTCTTGAGAAAACAAGTTTAATGATAATATATAAATTAAACGTATAACTCAATGGTCTTTTTCTATCCCCGATTTCAATTCATAATTATTTGGGTTATTCCTTTACCCTTCCGGGTTCGCTTGATCTGTTAAATCGAGTTAATATTGACCATCGACCATTACCATTCCTCGGTGTTGTCCTTTCATGCCCCTTGTTGTTTAATAATTCCAGTGTGTACGTTAAAAAGTAA